AAACAAATAAAAAAAATAAACTAAAGCAGAATAAAAAAAATTCACAAGGGTGCTTAGGATCCCCGGTCACAACGTACAGTTTTTTTTTTTTTTTTCTTATATTATTATGAAGTTAGAATAGAGCAATGCTAAAAATAGAACTTACATATGGCCTTCGTTCAAAATTAAACGAATTAGCCAAGTCCCTTCTGATTGTTCAATTTTGAACGAAGCGGTATAGTCAAGTCAAAATTGGTTCATATGATTCAAGTAGTATAGTTATCTTAAAGGAAAAATATTGTAAAATTATATTAGGATAATACACAGTCCTTATGTACGCAGCAGAGGACAAAAAGTATATAAGACCAAAAGTTTCGTTTAATAAAGGTTAACTCAGTTGAGTTCTATAACTTCGAAGTCCATACAGTAGAAGTTGGTTTCCTAATAAAAATCTCTACTTGTCGCTAAAACCTTGTAATAAAATACTTGTATTTACTTGTCCCCGTGTTCCATAAAAATCATTATTTTCGTTCGTAAGAATAAAGAGAGAAAACTTAATATATTAGTAATCAGACCCCTTTAAATATAAAAGCAATTAAACTTTCGATTTCGTCATTATTACAAATCACCATTGTTTGACTATTACGCATATAATCAAAATTATCGAAGATCCAATTTCGCTAACACGTGACCACGTGACAATCGTTAGAGCCCTAGCGATTGCAATCGAATATCGAAGCCCTATTATACAGAATAACGAAAAAAGAATTTTCTTTGACTATTTATTGGTTCCTACGACCCAATAAAGTATAATAAAAACCCAAGAATATACTTATCTTAATCTCTACCAGCCCTAAGACTCTAAATACTCGGCCCAATTCTCACCACGCCTCGATAGAAGCCTACCAACTTTAGAGTTCCCGGCCTTGGTTTAGATTAGATTTGTAGTGTTTGTTGAGTTTAGAATAGATTATTTAGTTGTATTTTGTTAGTCTCACGCTCACAACGTATAGAAAAAAAGTACATATTAATTGGAAATAGAATGTGTCACGAAAATTCGGGCAAAGAAAGAATGGAGGTGCTGAAGAGACTTAATGCTACTGGAAGTAAGACAACGCCAAAAGATTCAGAGATATAGAATGTTACTGGAGTTAAAAAAGATGCCAAAGTGATTTAAAGTAAAGAATGCTACCAGTAAGAAAAACGCCGAAGGGATTCAAGAAAGCAAGAATTAAAAAAAGCGCCCAAGTCAAAAGTCTTTTATTCAATTTAATTTACTCTCTTACCTTTCGTCAGATTGCAGTTTAGATGATAGATTAATAGTTTACGCCCTCACCTGACGATCTTAATCTGAGGCGTTAGTCTGAGGCACAACAAATACAATATTTTTCAAATACATCGTTGGCAAACATTTTACATATTATATTAACTTTTTAAAATTTTTAAAAATACCAATTTTATTAATTTATCGGCTACAAGTTTCTAAATATGCTTGAGCCTCATTAAATTTATAATTTATCTATTTTTTTTAAAAAAAAAATCTCGGAATTAAAGAAAACATAGTTTTTTCATCTTAGTAAGACGCCTACCTGGCATCCCATGATGAATAATGCCAGTGTAGAAAGAACAAATTGATTTTTATACAATAAAAATTGGATAATCATAACTTGTGATTTCATGCTCGCCTTCGATTATTATTTGGCTTTCATTCTCAATTACTTGTATTGCTTCATTCTTCATTATTTCTGGTTCTTGGATTTTAAATTCAGGATTAAAGACTGCTACAAAAAAATGATCTTGAGAAATATGCCCATCGGGTTGTTTAATAAAAAAGTGTCCATTTTTTCTGCTAATAAATCCTGGATCGGATTGGTTGTAACCTTCTTTGTACAAACTAATAAATTCAGTATTATGGACACTGTTTGTCCCGTTTATAAATAAATTATTATCTGCTTCGAAAATCTTTTCTAGAGATAAATCTTTATCCACTTTAAAGTAACTAAATATATCTGGATTTGGATGTCTAGTGTATAAAAGATTGAATTTAAAATTAGATAAAAAACGAGTAAAATATTTCTTTTCATTTAAATCATAACCATAAAGATTTATGCAAACTTTATCATCATGTCTGTTAAAATGATGGCCAATGATAGAACATTTAAAACTCGGATCCCATTCCAGTACTACAGGTATGCCAAATAGTACCATGGAGTACTCTGTACGTATATTAAGTACTTCATGTAAAGTATTATCATTATAATGACAACGTTTTGTAGAGCTTTGAAGATGTATGTGTTCTGGATTAAAAATTGAATTAAAGCTTAAGTCATTTAATTTTGACACGATATACTTTTTGTTGATTAGATTTATATCTCGTACAATTAATAATAACTTTAGGGATAGACGAATGCGAAGGGGTATATAGCATACAAGTGAAGATGTTGTCATCGTCTTCAATGTTAGACACTGTAGCAAAAACCTGAGGATCAACGTCTTTATTTGAAAAAATGGAACCAATATTTTTGGGCATCTTCAAGTCGACAATATTACTTCTATCATTATAATCATGTATTTTAAACTCGTAATCTTGAATATTAGAATAAATAATCGTCTTCCCGATCAATTCTCTAATCTTATCTTTTAGGTCATTAGGTAAGAATTCAAATATGCTCACAGGATTATGAAATTCGATTATATCCCAAAGTTTAAATTCTTGTAATGAAGTTATCCAATCATCCTCTTTACCCAGAAATATTTTTATCTTATCACCACCAAAAATTAATGAATCTTGGAGTTGTATTGTACTTTCGTTTCTACCTTGTCTGTAAATTCCTGTGCATGTAGTAACTTTATAATGAAGTCTTCCACCAAATATAATCACTGTAGGAATAAATTGACCAAACTTTTCAATGACGTGTTTTAATATATTAATATCTTGTGAATTTAGAGCTCTCTTTACGGCAACAATAAATTCATAGGTGAGTCTAATATCTTTTATTTTAAAAGATAATATTGCTTTGACAATATTTTTTAATTTAAACTTTGAAGATGTTTCTTCGGAATTAGAAGGTCGAGAATTTTGTGGATCTATTGGAAAATCAAAGTTTGCAGTGTTTGGAATGCCTAATTGAGAGTTTTTAAAAAATAAATTCTTATTCTTAGATAAATCATCAAATGAAAAAATTGTCATGGTGTGAAAATTATATTCGTCAGGTTCAAGTATACTAAATTCACAATCTTCAATAATAAAAAGTTTTTTTTCGGCTACTCTATCTTTATAATCATCATAATTACGACCATTTTCAAGACTAAATTTTCTCACTAACGCCCTCCAATTTGGTCGAGGATCTTTTTCAAGATAAATCATATTATCGTCATCTAATATATCACTTAATAAATATTCATTTTCATTACTAATATTAATTAACGCACCATTTTTTGTAAAATAAAAGGAATTTGTCATTCTTGTTACATTGTTTGACTCAAGTATTCTTCTAACTTTGCATAAACTGAAATCATTTGCTAATTTTACTAAAACTTTAACATTATCTATTACAACAATGATATCTCTTGTGCCATACATGACACTTGGTGAAAAAAAATATCGATACATTAGAAATTATTCAAAAATTTCAACCCAAAAAATAATATAACTCTTATATAAAAGTATCAAAAAATTTAACTTTATTAAAACCAATAAATTTTTATTTTGTCTATGTAACGTAGAACAATTTAATTTTTCATAGAACTAGGTGTGCATACAGTAAAGTACTTTTCGAAAACACGCAAAAGTATACAAATACGTAATTATAATGATGATAATTTCTATTTATGTTATTTGGTCAAAAGTTATTAAATTTAATAAAGTTGGTGTATCATCTCTACGAATATGTTGTTATGTTGTGGAATTGTTCTTTGAACATTATCTTTATATATCAATGAAGTTCTGAGCGACATTAGGAAAATACAAATACATGGAATCTACACAATAGAAACACTTCTAAATTCATAATATATGTTACATAAAACTATGACACATCGTGATATCTCGTGATGAATTTTGGTACACCATTCAATTCGTCTTACTGAAAAAAACTAATTTAAATTTAATTGTTAGTTCACGATATATCATAATTCATTTAATGCAACCAATTCGTGTAACTTTGTGCGATATATTATTATCGCTATGTGGCGGTATAGAGTTGAAAGTGGTAACACACGAACAAGCGTCGTCCAAAATCAGTTGCGTTATACAATATTAGTTACACAGTTTGTTTTTCTATAAAATAATAAAATTTGTCATATTACTTTCTATAATAAAAATAATTTTCATATCTTGCTTAATTTATTTTTCTTTCTCGCAAAAGGCGCTAAAGTTACAAAAAATATTAGATGTAGAAAAAATTTATTAAGTTTTGTGATGCAGTAAATATTTGTGAAATTTGGATGAAATTATGGGTTCTACGTATTTTAAAATATCAACCTAGAGTACGTGCGTACCAGTGTTGGAAATCTGTTTTGAGATTTATATTCTCATGAGAACATATTTATTAAATTTAATATTCTCAGAAATTTATTTATGCTCTCAACATTAAAATTTATTTATATCCCTATTTTTAAATCTTTGTCCCAACCCTTCTCTTCTTTTCGGATGATTTCGGAACTTCGTTCGATTTCTAATTTTATTTCCATCTGGCATTATTATATTATATTTAAATAATACTTATATCAGTATATAGTGAACATATTTTTCGTTCTCAAATTTATTTTCATAGAGAACATTTACAGAAAAACAACCGTTCTCAAATCTAAAGGTGTGTTCTCATGTGAACGTGAGAACATAAGATTTCCAACACTGGTGCATACGTTACAAAATTGGTAACAGTTACGGAACTGATGAGATTCGGATATATGTTATTAGAGCTTTAGAGAGAAACGCTAAATGGAACTATTTATGTTGAATTTTAAATGAATTCAAATCCTTTATTCAGAATGATATGGTCTGGCTTACATACTTACTTTTACATATAAACGGAATAAGATACCAAAATAATTGAATAATAAATATTTCAATAACAAATAATTTTTGATTGTTTTAATTTTTTGCGATCCTTTTTACATTAAACTTACAGATAATTTTTTAGGATGAAGATGTTTATATGATCACGAAAAGGTAATTTACTATACGTATATAGGCAACAGTTTTTATTCCGTATTCGACTGTACGAATTCAAAACTATAACAATAAATATTTGAAACTTCCATAATTACACAAACAACATATTATTGACATATCCTGCCAAAATTACGGATTAATATATTGTAATTACTCCGATGTAACACAAGCAGAGTTTGTTTACGTAAATATTTAAATTAGGAACAATTGTGCTTTGATAGAAATCAGTGGACTTCTAAAGATTTTCAAAATGAATACAAATGGTTTAAAATGCTTTAAAAAAGGAATTCTAATTTTCTTTCGGAATTTGCATATATTAAACATTTAAATTTATGTTTATTTCAATCGTATTTGAGCTAATTAAAAAGTTAATAATATCAATTGGCCTTTGCGACTTCGATGAATATTAAATTGAGGATATTTCTGAATTTATCGGGTCAAGATGCATTTAAGAGTGGTGATTTTTAATTATAGCTAGTATACAAAAAACATATTTCGTTTTCACCAGTTTAAATATTGTTCATATAAACGATTATTTTTCACCGTGTAAATCTCTATGAATACGAAGCATAAATAGGTTAACAATATGTGAAAATTTAGGATACTTGCTCCTTCGCTATGTTACATAACTTGTATTCAAAAAAAAAGGTGATATGTAATCCGTTATTTTCTTATTTTCCTAAGATAAAAGTTGATATCTCATTTACTTTATGCCAGTATTTGAAGAGTGATTAAATATTATTATAGTAATGAAGTTGTCTAAGTACTAGAGTTGCAGGTAAACTAATTTTCAAAGGTGATCAATTTTCACTTACAAATCAATATTGGGATAACACTGGTAGTATTGGTGGTGATACTGGTGGAACTGATGATACTGATTATATCGGTGGTACTGGTATGGTAATACCAATAGTACTAGTAATACTAACAATACTAATAAATAGCTACATAATGCAGTTATACTAATCCTTCCTTTTTTTCTACCAATAAGATAATACTAAGTATTATTTTATTTTAAAAATGGTTAAATTTTGTAAATTTATAAAATAATTTTATTTGCATTTAACTGCTATTACTACAAAGAATCTCTAAATTTATTGTATTTGTGCAAATTAAGTGAGTAAATAAAAAATATTTAAAATTACTGTAATAAGATCTATATAGTATAATTGCTATTATAAAAATGGCTTCTAAATTCGATCTCATTCATGCTAGTTTAATAAAATAAAATAGGGTTCAATATTACCAACATTACCAATATCACAGTTTTTCACCAGTTTCGCCAGTTTACCAGCTTCACTAATCTTGCTGTTAAGTTGTACCAGTTTCACTAGATTCACCTGGTAATATTAATTAGTTTCATCTGATGTTAAAATTAGCTAATACTAAGATTATAATAATTTAAAATTTTTTGAGCCTTTTGTGTGGGTTTTTTAGTATTGAATTGGGATTAGGGTTAGAATCCTTAGTAAAGGAGTAGTTATGAATTTTACCACTTAACCTTTGTTTGGGTTAGAGTTAATACCTCTATCCGGATATATACTATGTCATGTGATATAACGTGAAATAATGTTTTTAAATCCGGATATAAATAAATCCGGATTAAAATAAATCTGGATTTAATTTAAATCCGGATTAATCCAGATATAAAAAATATATCCGGATTGAGATATTAACTCTAGTTTGGGTTTATGGTAAAGAAGTCTGTAAAATCAAGCAAATTTTATCTATATAGCAGATTATTCAATAAAAATCAAATATATATCTAGTTGCATATAAATTTATTTGGATTTTATTTATTACTATTATATAAATTATTGTACGGGTCTTATGTAACAACCCGTGCTTTTTTCACTTATTTATTGGCACGTATTTAAAAAAATAACTAAATCGGACCACTTTCATATTTGATATAAAATATGAAAATGTACCGATTTAGTTATTTCATTTTTACTTAATGCGTTTACTTTTTTATTAATCAGCAATGCATATAAAATCTTATTTATCGAAATAAAAATTCTTTACATTAAAGGAAAAAAATCCGAATACAAATTATGTTATCTACCCAATGTAAGATTCAAATTTATAGTCAAGGGCTTGTCAGAAGGCGGAATTTGGAGTATAATATTATTAGTAACAGATTCAAGAGCACTTCTAGGTTTAATAGAACTTCGTTCAATATTTGTGCTATTAGAAAATTCATGTTGCAAATTTTCGGTTGATTTTTTTTCTTGAGTGTTATACGATTGACTTTCTTGAGTGTTATACGACTGATTTTCTTGTGTGTTATTTAACTGACTTTTCTGTGTTTGATTTTCCTGAGTATTAAATGATTGTTGAGCATTAGGTGATTGAGAATTATGTTGTTGGGATTTAGAACTTAAAATTTTTGCTTTCTTGTATGGTGGTTTAAATGGTGAGAAAATGTTCAATCTTGGTTGCTTTGGTACAATTTTTGGTAATTCATGCTGTGAACCATCTTTATGCTGTAGTACAACTTTATCATTATCATTACTATTATTAGATATTGCTATTACTTCTACTTCAGATTCCAAACTACCGTAAAACGCTCTTTATAGTACCCCCTGTGTAAAGTACCCCCTGACTTTTTTGAAGATGATTTTTGTATTGTACCCCATTATTAAAAAGTATTAAAAAAAAAAAAAAATTATATTAGAGATCGCTATGTATTGTACCCCCTAGATCACGTATAGAATGTAAAATACCCCGGGTACTATAAAGAGCGTTTTACGGTAGCAGTGGCGGTAGATGTTACAGAAATTTCTAAAATAGAAAATGATCGTATATTTTAGGTTCTATGTAACAACAGTAATATATATGTAGTATGTACCACGTTCTAATGTTCTTGAATCTGAATTAGTATTAGACATTATTGTTGTATCATCTATGATATATATAAACATACTGTAAGTTACGAAATATAAAAATCTTATTATTAGCATTATATATTTAATTTAAATTTATCAGTTTCTGTACTATCTTCTTCTGATTCGTAAGTCATATAGGATTCTCCAGGGTAATTATAATATTCTTCTAAATTCTCTTCAGTTGCCGCAAATGGTATAAGTGATGCAACAGAGTTTAACCGTTGATCATCTGTTGGTTTACTATAGGACCTGATACCTTCACGTGATCGATGACCTGAAAAAGCCATTAATTCATCTTCAGGAGTATCTGATGCTTTAAGAAGCATAATAGCAGTTCGTCTTGCACTATGGTTTGTTATTTTACGATCAACCAGATTAATTTCTATATGAGTAGCAATTTGGTGTAACATTTTTTTAAGTTTGTTTGCGCCCATGTGGGTAAGTTTATACCAAATCCCATTTTGGATATCTAAACAATACGTAAAATTGTAAAAAAAAAAAGTAAAAATCGAAATCTAA